CTATGGAATTTTATAAAAGAAAGAAAGAGCCCTCAACTCGAAAGTTCCTGAATTGAAACTTAGCGTAAAAGAGAGACTTAAGAATAAAAGAGTCTTCTTCTACGTGAAAAAACCCTTAAACGAAGGAAAGGAAACTTGAAATGATGGAAATCCACAAACCTGAACTATTCTTTAACTTATTTGTAAAATTTTCTTCTCCTGAACTCTCCCAAAGAATCTTATTTTGCTATCCATTTAAAAATGAGTTTGGGATTTTAATTTGAAAATTTTACCCTGAACATTATAAAATATTTATATGCTATCTTTTTAAATTATCCATTTCCCCATTTCTTCATAATATGATCCTGAACCGTCTTTTTGGATTCGAAATCTTTTCATTTTTTTTTATATTTATTTTCATTCTTCATTCCTTGTTACTCATCGTTTATATCAATTAGATTCTATCAGCATCCTTTTTTAGAAACACATTTTCTTTCCTCAATCAAAGAATTTCTTGAAAATTTTTTCTTCAGCCTTCACTAAATAATGGAAAGTAATATTATATTAAGTATCTTTTAATACTTCTTTATTAATATGTAACATAATATACCCATTTTTTAATCACCCTCATTAAGTTCATTCACTGATAGTGGTGTAATAAAGTAAAATGTTTTTTTAAAGAAGAAATGATGGCCATCCCATTTCTGGAGATGCTCAAAATTTGGGTCTATTCTCCAAAATCGTTTGTCTTTCTCAGTCCTTACATCTATAGAAGAAAGAATCAGTTTTCAACATAAGTTTTGAATGTTGTGTCTTTTCAGAGCAGAGATAATTATGAATCCCCATATACTATTTACTGTGATTAATTTGGTGTGATTCAAGACCATTAGAAACCTGGCGAATCTTCAATATCCAGGATTTTTTTTTTTAAGACACTTTATCGGATTTTTGTTTTATATAAATTTATATACCAAAATATTTATGTTATAATTTTGAAGAAAAGAAGAATATAGATATATATAAGAAAAAAAAGAATATATAAGGATAGGAGAAGTCATTTACGGATAGAGGAGGATGGATGGGGACAGGAAAATTGGAAACCGTGCGTGAGAAAAAAAAATGAGATTATAAAAGCAAAAAATCATCCCACGGCACACAAAGTTCCTTTTAACGTTTTTAGATAATAAACGTAGATGATCTAGATCTATGATGATGATGATTATATAATCACCCATTTATCTATAGATCTTCGAATCGTTTTCATCATCATCATAAATAGTGGAATATATAAAATATTCAAATCAACAAAATATCCATTTGTTAGAAAAGAAAAGAAAAGATCGAAAATGATCAAAATACGATGAAAAGAATCTGAAAAGGGTTTGGTATTCTATAAAATAAATATTAGCAAATTGTAGTGATTAGTAATAGGAATGAGAAGAATCTGAAAGATATAAAGTAGAAATGATCATAAACGAAAATGCTATGACAATTGATCATGAAAACCAGAATGAATGTGATATATATATCTGGAATAAAAATAAATATATATACATGGTATTTTCAGTATCATTTTCCAACTTATTCTATATGTCTGTTGCTTCAAACCTTCTAATTTCTGTTGTTAAGAAAAATTTGATCTCATCTTTTTCATTACATAACAATTAATAAGAATCTTTTCTAAAATTATCTTTGGGGAATCATCTGAAATAAAGAATCTATTGTCAAATATAGAACGATTGTTTCTTTGTTTAATTGATGATTAACTATATTTAGATTTTTATGAAATGACGCACTATATTCTTTGTTCAGACAAACTGTTAATCTTGTTGTATAAATTTAACTCTTTGTAAAATAAATAATCTTCTGATACAAATCATTTACTAAAAGTGAAGTATAATTTAACAAATAATTCACATTCTTTAGATGAATGGATGTATGTATTTCGGTTGAAACTAAACTTTTACAAGTATTTGGATGTACGTAGACAGAGTCAGATAGATAGCTAATCGCATTAATTAAATATAAGCGGTTCAAGGGAAGCGAACCTCATTGTCATGAAATTTATAAAAAAGGGGTAAACATCAGGTGACCAAACTAGAGAAATTCCAGAATAAACTCTTGTAAAGATAAAGTTTAGTTGTTTTGGGTCTTTTTGTTAGAGCTACAGAATGAACTCTTCCTTAAAAGATCAAATTTTTATTCATTTGAATTAATTTAGAAGAGTTGAGGCTGCTGTTGAATCATGTAAAAATAAAGGTTTAGTAGGGGCATTTTTCTTAACTAGAGCTGGTATATGGTCGTTATATTTAAAAATAAAATGAGTAGTACATTTATAACTTCCCGGTAAAATTCTTATTTTGACCTCTTGTAAATCGAATATTTGTAATCAGATTTTCCTATGTATTTTTGAAAGTTTGTCAGTAGATAAATGAACTTAGTTCCAAGAAAAATATGTTTTTTTAATGAATAATCAGTTTTAGGAGCTATTTTAATATAGAACTGAACCATTTTTCTGCCGGGGCAATATTATTTCCAGGTGTTTTTCACGACGTTTAAAACATTATTTTTTTGCCTACGTAGAAACCCAATTTAAAACAAGGAATTTCGGGTCAACCCTATGGGGAAT